ACGACTGAAGAGCCCAGTGCAGGCTGGGATCTGTGTGGCTGGGGAGCAGCCTTGCTGAAAGGGACCTGGGGGACTTGGTAGGCAACAAGCTGATCAGGAGTCTGCAGTGCACTGCTGCGGCAACGAAGGCAAATCAGATCCTGGGCTGCATCCGCAGGGACATTACTAGCAAAGATAGAGATGTCATCATCCCAAGCGCTTGTCAGGCCACACCTGGAGTACTGTGCCCAGTTCTGGTCTCCACAACTCAAGGAAAGACTGGAGAGGGTCCAAAGGAGGGCCATGAAGATGATGGAGAACTGTCCTTCAAGGAGAGACTGAAGAGGTCTTTTCTCCCTGGAGAACGGAAGGCTCGGGGGGACCTGATGACAGTAGTCCAGTACGTAAAGGGTGGCTACAAAAAGGACGAAGGCTCTTTCTTCACAAGGAGCCACGTGGAGAGGACAAAGTTGCACGAGGAGAAGTTTCATCTTGATATAAGAAATATTCTACACTAAGAACAATCAATCACTAGAACAGCCTTCCCAGGAACATGGTACAGTCCCCATCGCTGGAGGTTTTCAAGGTCCAATTGAACAGGGTGCTAGAAAATCTCATCTAGGCTCCCTTTCCCACGATAGTTTGGACCAGATGATCTTTTGAGGTCCCTTCCAACCTAGGCTATTCTATGATTCTATGAACTGTCTGGCAAGGTAGCTTCTAACAGTCTCCTGCAAAACACCCTCTATTTCTGAAGCAGGCAAAATTTTCATCTCATTTATAAACTAGGATAACCTTCCCTGCCTTGTTTCACATGTGTTTATACTAACAGAGAGATACTCAAAATATGCAGTAAAGTAAGTGATACCCTTCAACTCTATCCAGCAAGCCAACGACCTTGGGCTCTTCCCACATGTACGCAAATACAGATATTCTAACAGAAATAGGCAGATAAATATCCCACTGTAATTGCTGGCAGACTCTTGCTGTTTTGGCACAGATTTGAGTCACAATACATTTCAGACACCTCCTTTTACAGACTGTAAATAACAGGCTAAAACTTCACAACTCATTTTGTACATGCCTAAAACTGTAGAAAAATATACCACAAAACACCAATATTTAAGCCACAATGACATATCTAAAAAAAGTGACTGCTGACCAGGGAAGGCATCTATTGTATCATTAAGGTTAGTTTTAGAAGTTATTATTTATAAAGTTGTCATTTATTGGCTCATCATAACTTCAAAATGAAGAAGCTGGCTTTACCATGTACCCTAGGCAGGCAAATGCTTGAATACAGATTCATCAGTATGTCTTCCTCCCTTTCACTGTCTTACACCAAAAACTCCAATGAGGCTTGAAATCACCTAATTGTAACTACTTTGTTCTTCTGTTGTCTCACTTATTTTTCTTCATCATTACCAAAACAACACTTCTCTTGCCATTTTCTATCTCCTGTCTTTCAAAGAACTTAGGTTCATTCTTGGTTTAAACATATGGAGTCATCTCATTCTGTTAGCATATGAATAGCCTTCACTTAGGTTTCCACTCAAATTAATGGCTATATCAGGATCTTGCCCAATAATTCTAATGCATGTTGAAAGCTGACAAATTCCTGCAGTTTATTTTTAAAAACTGACTTTACTACTTCCAACACTGAACGGATAAGATTCCAGCAGTGTATTTTATTAGCTGCCTATTTACAATTCAGTAAGTTATAGTTATATTAAAAATTGTTCTAAAAATTATATTTATGTAAAGAAACCATTAAAAAGGAAAAACTGGAAGGATTGTTTTCCTGGAGCTAATATAAACACTGGACCAATTGCCACTTCCCTGCTGTAGTTATAAACATCTCACTCAAGCCAGCAGTGTTATTCCACAGTCACATTGATGTAACAAAAAAAATTCTGCATACAACCACAGTTTCTCTGAAACCTTCTGAAACACATGGAATACATTTATTCTTTGCTGAGAAAGTTGACTACTGGTATGGCTGAGAAAGTTGACTACTGGTATGGCTGAGAAAGTTGACTACTGGTATGGGTACCTCAAGTCTGGATACTGCTTAATGAATGTTTTGCAAAAAATCATCTTCTGAACTGGGCTGAACATTTAACCTCTTGACCATCAGACCTCTGCAACTAGGAGGAACCTTCTACACAGATCTGGTACCAATGAAATAATTAACCTTTCCTTAGCAAAACCATTTGAGAAACCCTCTGTACCTTTATTTTCATTTTGTGCTCTAGAAACCTTGAGCAAGGTTTTAAAATGTTTTTCAAATTACTGTGTGAGCACAGTCAGTAATCAAAGCATGCAACTGTAGTTCTGATTTAAGACTGAAAATCTTTGGCTCAGATGCATTTCAACAAATTATACACTTAACTGAGGTTTCCACTCTTCTCCATTGACTAAACCTGCAGCAGCAAAACTCCTAATTTAGGTATATCAATTTGGTGCCTGAAATTAGGTGGGATGAATATAGCTCAAAAAATTACACAGTGCTGGCTGATGATGGAAAAAGTCTAAGGCAGTAAATCACAGGCTAATTTGAAGCAGCCTTCTTTAAGAGGTCCCAATGGTTCCTGCAGTCCTAACAGCTTTTTCCTCCCAATAAAACCCAAAATGGCAAACAATGACCCATGGGTTGAACGGTGCTCTAGGATCCAAGGAGTGGGACTTTTCTCCCTAGTTCTCCATTTGGAAAACAATAAATGTAGACATATATAGAATTCCATATATACAATACCTCATTGTTTCAAATCCATTCAGTCCATGTTATTTAATACACTACTAGTTCATTCAACATGCTGTGCTATTCTGGCTAAGCTGGTTTTGCTACCAGAGCAGAATTGTTTGAAAGCACTTGTGTATTTCCAAGACACACTGCAATCTGACAGCTCAACTTTCAGCTTCAGTATTGGTTATCTAACAGCACAAAGGAATTGTTTGTGATTCACGGGAGGTTCAAAGGCCAAATAAATGCATTTGAAGAATTCTACGTTTAGCTAATTACTTTTCAGAAAAAATTGCAAATGTTAAATTTCTAATTGTTGTTAAGTGAAAACAGCAAGAAATTAAGTACATTAGAATGGCATATTTCAGAGACAAAAAGAAACAATCAAAAAACAATTTAGATATTATTTTGGATATGGACATGACATCAGGAAGAACTTAGTTATTTCAGAAGAGAACATTTTGTAGAGATTGCCTTTGCAAGGAACATGCTTGTTGTAGTGAACAAATGATACATCTCTACAGAAGTGTTTAATAGCCAAATAAAACTCTTCAGGTAATACAAATAAAAACAGGGGAGTCCCTTAAAAATAACATATTTTAAAATATAATACAAATAGATGTGCCAAATATTACATTTCTATGCACACAGATCTAGGAACATACTACTGCAAAGCAGTCATATTTCAGAGGGTTTTTTTTCTTATTTTATTAAATTAAGTTGTTAAAAGGAGTTTAAACTTTTTTTAAACTAAGTATTTCAAAAGGGGAAATTCATATCTGTATAGCCAAGTGCGCACTTAGCTTTTTTTTTTTTTATTAGACCATAAACTACACTAGCTAGATCTCTAGTAATATCAACCAGATACAGAAAAACAGGCAAGTTAGATTTCTTACATGACACCCAGGGGTGATACAATGCTATACTTAAGTAGACAAAAGCACAAATGCACACGAACAAATACTGCCTTATAAATCAAACTTCAAGCAAACCAAAATTTGAAAAAAGGGCAATGACAGATCCAATTTACCTAAGCATCAATACAGTGGCAACTACAACACTAACATGCAAAGGCAGTACAGTAAGGCCTTGAAAAGAGGTGGTGCCCCTAATGAAGACTTACTTATTCTCACTGCTCCAGTTATTCCTGAAGAATAACTGAGGTTACTTCTATTCTGTTCAGGCAGCCCTGTGCGAAACAGCCTCCTTGATGTATTTCAGTCTACAGTATTTCAAAGAGGGCAACTGTTGCATGCAGGTAAACTGGGTTTTGTTTGAAGAAGAGTCGATAAGAAATGTAGTTCAAAACTAAAACCATGAAAAAGAGTTTTAGTTGCATCTTTCTGCCATTATTTTAAAAATATGGAACACTCAAAAAATTGAGCCTGAAGATGTGCACATCCTAAAAAAATACATATTATTATAGGTACTATTTCCTCTATCACTGCTAGAAAAAGATCTTTTAACCCTCTCTTTCTATCCCCAGACCTAGACAAAATTGGGACTTCCTGAAGCTCAAATGAAGTGTTGGACAGAGATAAACAGATGAAAAAGGGAGGACAAGAAACAGTGGAAGATGATCTACCTCGACAGAAATAGTGGTACTTCAATCTGCCCGTACCAGAGTAATAATGTTATTGCATATAATGTATGCAATTTATCGCATGCATGTATGTTATGCATACCCTATAAAAAACAAAGAACTCGCATTTCTCCTTCAGTAACATTTTTCTGCCCTAAACTTTATTCCTCTATTATTCTCATTAAGTGCTCCAAACAAAACTAATTAAAGTTAAAACTCTCATGCAGTTTCAGAAGATGAGAATATAAACTAGTATTCTTACCAATCCTTGCCAACAACACTGCAGAAGTTATTAAGTGGAACACTCCCATCATTTTACTACCTCGTTTCGCTAAACGAAACAAAATGGAAAAAACATGTTTTCTAGAAAGCCAAGACCTAGCTAAGACAAACATTTGGTACTTTTTCAAGCTAAAACCTGAAGTCTCTCTTAAGAAATGCCATATGGACAAATAAAAGGGAGATCATGGACATATATAATTCATTGCTGTATGCATTAAAACTTTTCTGTAAACAGTTGCCTCTCAATTGCCACAGCACTGAAGAAAACTGCTAGGAAAAAAAAAAGCACCTGCTGTTCAAAAGGAAGAATACTCAGAAGTGTTGCTGTCACTTGATTGTTAATTCAATGAAACTTTTTAACCAAGCATAACCCAATACCATTCGTCAAATCTGACTGCGAAGTGATGTTATTACCTCAGAGCGTATACGCTGGAGAGACTACATGTAGTGACAGAAACACTCTCATAGTCACTGCTGGAGATGGAGCTGAGGGGGGAATCACGTAAGCCATCCTGAGAACTGAAAAAACATACGGAAACAAAATGAACTGCTGAAGCAAACAAAGGTAAAAACAGAGCACTGTGATAACTCATGGCTTGTCATGGATTATACAGCAATAAAAGTAAACTGGCAGGTTTTTTTCTCTTCAGAAAATGATACAAACCTATTCTCTTTTCTTCCCAAAAGGACAGGCAATTTGGCAAAGTCAGTGGGCACACATTTTACAAAAATCTTCAATTTAATTCATGTCAAACAGTTAAAAAATTCAGGAAAGAACTGAGGATCTTGCATTTTCATCGGGTATAGAGGGAATAGCGTGCCCATGCTGCTAAGTGTGGTTTAATGTTATAACAAAGACATGACAAAACTGGAAGTTCATAAAGTCATTGCATGTTTCAGGCCAAGACACCCTAAATAATAAGCTTCAAGAACTTCTGAAATATCCTGACATGTTTGACCTAAATTTCTTCCAATGCAAAAGAAAGTCTGTGAGAAAGCAGAAAGCTGACTTCAGTGAAGGAGATGAAGGTAATACCCCTACCCCTCAGCTTGCTCAGTCCCTGTAACTGCCGTATATGCGCCTCAAATGGGGTTTTTTTAAACCAACCAGATGAGCGGGAAGGAGCAGTCCCAGGGCAAACCACTGCCACTTCATTAGCAGAAATCCACTAGCTGCTAAGTAAAAGGGTATGAATAATTCACATGAACGGTACGCACCTTGTCTCTGGCATCCCTGGGCTAATGAAAAGCCTTTAAATAACATATCATGTTAGATATTACATCATATTATCAACAAACTAGGATTAGAAGATGAAAAATAGTTTCATAAGCACTACAGAACTATCTCGGAAAGACCAATTTTTTGTTTCAATAACAATTTATTGCTCAGCTACTGGAAATTGCACAAGCTGAAAAAAATTAAATTATACTAGATAAGAAAATATGTGATCTTGAGCAGAGGTATCAAAGCAGTATTGGCTCTAGGCAGCACAGAGAAATCATCTGAGCCTGCTAAATTCAAAAATTCAGTCAACAGAAATCTTTGGACAACACAGAGAGAAAGCTAAGAAATCTCTTTAGTTAAAAGAGATGTAATTATATAGGTCAGGATTATTTTACCTTACTTCTCCACAATTACTAGCAGATTTTTTTATGCTCTTTTGATTTGTAGACATATGCGGGGTACATATTCAAACCAGCTACGTTCCAAATTATTTTCTTCTACCAAATTTACTATTGTAGCTATTTCTGCAGCTAGAAATCTGGAAGAATGCTTAAGAGGAATTCTTCAAAGCAGTGTACGTAAGGTACGTGCGCTAATCCCACTAAGAAATAATATGATTTGTTTGCATACCTCCCACTAATTGCTTGGAAAATGTACCCCCTTCATGTTCCTCATTTCTGACTGCCAATTTGAAAATAAATCCCAAGTGTACTATGCTTTAGTTGAAAGCAGAGCCGCCACAACTGGAAAATAATTTTATCAGACTTGAACAAAAATCTACTTAACTTTCATTCGTTTTATATAATTTCCCTTGCTAATTCTGCTCATTATGAAGAGATATATGCATTTAAACAAAGGCTTACTCTTTTATAGCTCATCACCTTTACCCATCCAATCTTACAATATGGTCATGCTACTAAAATGTACTTTTACTATCTGTTTTATGGCAGCTAAATGATATTAAGAAACCATTAGCATATGATTTCACAGCATGATTGAGCAGGAGAAGCTGTCTTGCAAAGATGAAACGTGTTGTTCAGAATAAAGTAATCTTTGAACAGCAGAACCAGGAATCAAGAACAACTCGCCAACTCCTTCTTTTATTCTCTCTCCCCTCCCTGCCATTTCCAGATTTTTCCAGTGTCACAATCCTGCCAGCTGATTTGGGGACTAACACTTTTTTCTGAAAGATGTCAGGTTTGCTGTCCTTCAGTGCTTTCTGGGAAGCTCTGCCTGATATATTTGAAATCCAATCAAAATATGTCTCTTAAGGTAGATAATATTTATTGTCAACATTGTCCCAAGTCACAGAATCACTTTCTATCCTGAGCTACCTTTGTGGAGTGGACAGTGAAAGCCAGAAGGCAAAATGATACAGAAGGCACAAAATGCTAGACTTTGATAATAAGTAAACCTGATGAGTAACCTCAGAACATAATGGCACATGACCAGCTTACCAGAGTATCAAAGATCTCAATGCTATCATTATTTCATCTTCATGGATGTTTCTCTGATCAGCTTACAAGCCTCATCTCATTCCTCTTCTCCATAGCCCCCCGCAATTTGAATCCTCTCTCACCTCTAACCAGTCCCTATTAGCATAACTTTTTCTTATCAGCTGCACTCTCTCACGTCTTTTCAAGCCTTGTCTTAACACCATTTGCCATTCTAAACTGCTTCATAAATGCCTTCATTTTCCACTACTCCATCTTTTACTTGGTGCACAAACCTGGCCATGCTGAGGCATCCGCTGATTTCAGGATTAGATATCCATCTGGTCAGTCATCATTTGGCAATGTAAACTGCTTGGACACGCTTGACACAAACCATGCTCACAGAGGTGAGTTTGTTGTAGTAAAGGATGTGTGGTTTTGACAATTACTATGTGTAAACATTTTTCTCACTCCTATGTACCAATACAGATTGAATTTTTGTACCAGAAATAATATTTATAATGTTTATTTCTGGTTCATATTCAGGCTGTAACTCTTCAGATAAGAAATTCTGTTTTTATTTAGTACCAAGAAATGGGAATCCAATAATGATAACTCTGTTTTATACCTTCTCAGAGTCATACTAAATAGCTTTATTTTTTCCTAAAAACCAACAAAAAAAAGACTCCTGACATACTCACTGCATTCTTTCTCAGTACACACAGATTCAGGATACCTCTTCGTAGAATTTTCTTCTCATTAGTGTCTGCCTGAAGATTCGCTCAGCTTTTCTAAGATGCTGGTACATCCTGAGGTGAATTGACCTGCTTTTCCCAACTCATGATTCCTGTTATCAGAGGATGGTAGCTCGGCACACGTGTTCGTCAGCACAATTATAAGAAGAGACAGCGTGTGCGTATAGACACATTCTGTAGCTGATAGCAGCTCACCCTTTCTCCCACACCAGCCCACAGGCAACCTGAACTTCATTGCATCTCATGCTCATTTGAAACTAATGCCGTGTTGGATCAGGATTCATAGGAATGTTTAAAATGTGTGAGGTGGCAAAAGTTTCATTTGTGAGGTCTTAAACGCCTACAGTGCTATTTTTAAAATTACATTCTAGCATGGGATAAAACCACCATCCATGCTCATCAAAATGGAATTCTTCAGCACTTGTGATAAAAATGCAGAATAAAGATTTGAGGCAACAGACGAAAGTGACACAGGGTGATGTGGCTTCCTCTTTTCATGGAATATGGGCAGGCTGAACTAACAAACAAACTATTTAAAGCTGTTGGTCATTTTTGTAACTATTCTAAGTAAAAAAAAAAAACCCCAACCCAACAACAACAAAACCACCCAACAAAACCCAAACAAACTGAAAGCCACCTTTATCCTGGCTTGTGTGTTCTTTTCTACTGGAATGTGTTTCCAGCCTCTTACATTTAACTAAACCTCTCCTTTTTTCATGGGATGGTTTCTTCATGAGTTTTATTACTTGAGTCACAATTACATTCCATGTTGCATTAGTTAATTGGCACAGATCTCTTCTCTGCCTATCTCTCACTACATGAGAGCTAACTCTAAAGTCTCTGTGTCAGCTACACCAAATCCACTCCAACAAGTGGCTTTTAAAACTGTTTTTCCTACTATACTCATTTCAGGAATCTGTATGTTGAGAGTCAATACAGTTCACTGTTGCTGCATTTGATCTACAGCCCTAGTAAAAGGGAAGCCGGTACAAAACACAGACACCTTTTATTTGTACACAAAGGTTTCGTAACAGCAGTCACATCATCGGATACCACACAAAATCAGTGTTCAACAGACAAGGTCAAACACTGCCACTTTTAATTTGAGCCTTATATTGTTAAAAAGAAGCTGAGGAGGGATTGAAAAAATTCATTTATACTGAATCTGAATTTGGCCAGTTGCACAAAGACGAGAAACAGATTACCAGAAGGGGAAGAGAGGAATTCAAATCAACAGCCAGATAAAGGATTGCTTACGGGAAGTTTTGCAGTTGAAAGGCTGATACTTTCTTCCCAATCAACTACTATTTCCTTCTTGCCGATGAGAAGTTTTCTTACTCCCGAACAGCTAGTTAAAAGACTAATCAATACAAGACACTAAGCAGACATGGTTTTGTTTACGGGAACATGCACAGCTGTCCATTAGTTTTTATGGAAAAGGCAACATTGTCATGTAAAGACAGACACAATTTTCTTAAGTCTTACTGTGATGGGAATATTATAGGGAAAGCATGAATTTAAGACATTTAATTCAAGTCAATTCACATTGCAATATCAATTAATCTAATTTTGATAAAGAAGCACTTATAGAATCAAATGCTATAAACTAAAACTAGAAGACAAGCTAGAAAGGTAATTTGTGTGGGTTTGGTTTTGGGGTTTTTTTGTGTTTGTTGTTGGTTTGTTTTGGTTTTTTTGGGGTTTTTTGGTTTTTTAAATATAAATGCTAGCCATCCCCAAAACACAAATTCTTCTTTTCCATGCCTTTCTAAAGGTGGAATGACTTAAAAGTTGCTGTACTGAAAATGTGCACACGTCACGTGTTGCTAAGGAGTGAACAAAAAATACAGGCAGAAAAATCAGAATTAGAAACCAACTGTGTAAAACAGGTGTTCATCTTTTTACAAAGCCATTCTAATATGCTGAGGAAATAAAACTTTAAATATATTACAATATAGACTATTGTAATATAAAAATACATTACAATATACACAATTTCAGACTTCAGAATTGCAACAATAAGAAATGGGACAACTTGAATATCAAGCTGGAGAAGAATAAATTATTCATCTTATTCTAGAATTGCAATACAGATCAGCAAACAGCAAAACATGCTCTTCCAAGGATGTCTCATTCCTCCTCCTCTACACCGCAAAAGTATATGGCAAAATATTCTATTTTTTAAGCCCCCACAAATAAACACAAACAGCGCCAGCATCTAACAGCCGATGGACACAGCCAGAGCTTGCAAAAAGCAAAGACAAGATCTCCTTATTGTAAATTTTAGCTCCTTTTGCCAATTCTCAGGTGCACTGTAAGAGGCTTCATCAAGAGAACACTCACCAAATAAATGAAGAACAAGGAAAATGGCAAAGTTGTATAATTTAAGCTAGACATAACAGACCTGCAGGGGAAAGGAGAGAAACTAGGCTTAAGAATCATTTTGTATTTCAGAACTGTTGCAAGGTCAGCATGTAGATAAACACACAACAGAACCAAACATTTAAGACTAAAACATGAGAACACTAGCATTGCACAACAATATGAAACAAGCTGCCAAACTTCATAAAACATGTAGAAGAATTAGCAGTTTTAGAGGACTCTTCAACTCTGGAAAGAACAGAAAGCCAAGTAGTTCTAAAACACCAAAATAAACATGATCTTCACTCTTTGTAATTTTCTTTCCCCTTGGAAAAAGCAGGCAGAATACTACGACAGAATGAGCGTTTTAAAAATCTGTATAGCTTGCTTCTAGTGGAAAAAGAAGGAATACTAGATACAGATCTAAAGCTTGGTTTTGGTGTTAACTTATGCCTTTTTTTTTTACCCCAAAACACCAAATGCTGCTTCGTCAGTTTTATCTTCTGTATTATTCTTACATTATTTCCCCCCTTCAATGGTTTCTATTGCTACATGACAGCCTCTACTTATCACACAGTCCCTGCAGCAGATCAGATACCGACTACATCTTTGCTAGTGCTTTTCTCGTATTCCCATCTCATTAATGCTGCTGCCCAAGACTCTCCGTGCCCTCTGTGTTTTATGTCTTTGAGACACTTACAAGCAAATAATGGAGAAAGACATAGCATCAGCTATGACTTAAAAAACAATGTAGTAAATATATGTCAACACCAAAATCTTAAGTAGAGGAGTATTTAATCTGTATTTGTAACTCCACTGAATATTGAGGCTAGATAGAAAAGCCTGAAATACCTGGTATTTCAGACTTAAAGGATTAATTTTTTTCTTCACTGGGAGGGTGGTGAGGCACTGGAACAGGTTGCCCAGAGACTCTGCGGATGCCCCCTCCCTGGCAGTGTTCAAGGCCAGGCTGGATGGGGCTTTGAGCAACCTGGCCTAGTGGAAGATGTCCCTGCCCATGGCGGGGGGTTGGAACCAGATGATCTTGAAGGTCCCTTCCAACCCAAACCATTCTATGATTCTGTGATTCCAATTACAGTAAACCTGACTGGATCATTGAAATTATACCTATAAATAATGTCATATTGTGTAGTATAAGAACTGATTTAGTGTCAAAGAAACAGTTTGTGTCATAATGTACACATTTGACAGCTGCTTGATTCAGACAAGGGAAAGAATTTTCTTCTCCTACTTGGTGACTTACAGTAACTAGAAAGTAAATACATTTATCAATTTGATGAATGGGCATATCCTGCAGCTATTCCATGTATATTAGATTGCTTATTGTTCTAGCTAATGGGTCCATCATTCTGAAAATAATCTACTGTCTCCAACATTTCCCCTATGGTTAAGTTGGCATTCACAATCACGTAATAGGGAGCAGTCGCAGAAGCCTAATGTGATCTTCCAATTTAAAAATACCATTGAAAAGCAGTGATTAGTCACCACCCAGGCAGCATGAGTAAGAAAAGGTCCATAAAGTTCTGTTTTGTAACTGAATTCTCTCTTTTACCAATAACATGACTAGTGATTCAGAGACAAGAACCAAATCTATATATAGACAGATATATAAGGAAACTAAGGATCTACACACACATAATTTTTTAATCTAGTCCTCAGTAGATCCCCAGCATCTCCCATCTCTCACAGAATATACTGAAGGAGTTCGTATCAGAACATTTCCAAAAAAAGGAGCAACAATCTAGTAACAAAACACCTCCATCCCTATTTCTCTACTTCTGCAATGATGGAATATTTGTCAATTAATAACAGATGCACTGTAGTCTCAATAACGACTAGAGAGAATTTGATGTCATCAACAAAGTAACTGTGGAAGAGACTATGGTGAAAACAGACAAAACCCACTAAGTTGTTAACAAAAATATTCACCCAACAGTTTTAGGAGAACTCAAGAATGAATCAGATTAATTATTAACCTCTCATGTAAAACTTCCTTGATGCCTGGAGTTTAAAGATGGCAATCTCTAAAAATAAAAAGGACTCCAAGAGGATTCAAACAACTCTAGTTCTGTGAGCCTGATATTCATACCAAGCAACTTAACAATATATCCAAAGCTCAAATAGGTAGACAGTAATGGGAAGATCTGCCTAGGAAGAAGTAACATGGCTTCTGCAGAAGGAACCTCTTGGGAGCTCTCTGAAGGGGTCAAGAAGCTTGTGAAGAATGGTGATTCGGCTGGCAGCCTCTGGATTTCCAAATAGGTTCTGTCAAAATACCTCAACTAAAGGCTTTTAAGAAAACTAAGGAGCTATAGCATGAGAGGAAGGGGCCCAAAACTAATAATTCTTAACCATAGATAGGGAGGAACTGTTAAACAACCACTTCTCAGAAGAGCAGGACGCCGCTGCTGAAGTTCTTTAGGACCCTGGGAGTTTTGTTTTCACATATGATCTGCAAAAATGGGGAGAGCAATGAGGTCTGAAAGGTTGCTACTGGCACAAAATTATTCAGGGTAGTAACAACAAGAGCCAACTGAAGAACTGCACAGGATCTTAAAGTCTGAATAACAGGCAATAAAATAGCAAGATGAGATTCAACTGGCAAACAGAGGAAAAACAATTTTAGCATCAGATACAGAATGACAGCCTCTGAGCTCACAAGCAGGATCTTGGGGCTTTGGCAGACACCTTCAAAAAAACAAAACAACAAAAAAACCCCCAAAAACACACCAGCTCACCACTTGGCAAAAAAATCAAAAGGCAAATATTGGGAGCCATTGGAAAAACAACAGAAAATAATTAAGCCACTGTGCAAATCCATGGTTTGCTCATCTCTTGAGTCAGTGTGGTTCTGATTCACTTATCGCTAAGAGGAAATAGTATAATTGAAAAAGGTTTAGAGAAAGACAAAAGGAACGATCAAAGCTATGGACAACTTCTGGACAACTTCAGATCAAGTAGACTGTGACTTTTCCAACCTGAAAAAGTAACCACGTAGGCAAAGTGTGACTGAGGTCTACAAAATCACAAGCAGCGCAGAGAGGCCAGGCAGGATCTAGGAGCCGTTCAATGAAGCTCTTATGAGCCAGGTCCAGAGCAAACAAAAGGACACAGAGGAACATGGACCTACAGAACTCTCTGTAAAAGGACAATTCTCATACAAAGTTTTCAGACAATATTAACAGAGGCTGGACAAGTACATGGAAAAGAGGTTATTACATACACAAACCATGGGAGGCTGAAAAAGAAGCACATATATATATATATAATTTTATTATATTTTGCAGACTTGTTCTCACAAATTTCACTTAATATCCTACCCAAGGCAAAAATCAGTAGACAAATTGTCTGAGTTTTGTAAACAACGTATGATTTATCAGGACACTAATTAAACATACAGTAATTACTTTTAAGCAATATTCCACTTGAAGTGTTGCAAAAGCATGAAATGTCAAAGCGATTTGTGAATTACTTCTTAAAGTGAAGTCCATTCAAAAACCCTGTTGTAAGGCCTTGAATATGAACATACTTGCAAGTCTAAGATTGCACATACTCAGAATAACGAGAAAGATAAAACTACCTTCTCAAAAGTCAAGTTTTGTGCACGCTAAGTTGGGTTTTAACTGTAAGAGGAATTAACTCCAGCAGAAAGAACTCTTAATTCTATTTCCACTACCAGTAAAATTATTCATAATTCAACTGGTATGTTACTAGAAAAATGTTTATTTCTGTAGCCTTTCTATTGTGGTAATGCTCCCTGGTTCAAGCTGCCCCCAGTGCGTTATCCTGAACTCTATACACATATAACAAAGAGCAAGCCTGCATTACACACAAAGGAAGAAAACTGCCACAAATACAGAAAACAACAATAACATATTTAATTTCTTCCGTCTGCTTTATGATATTAATACTTTAGGGAAACAGAGGACATTACTCACTACAAAACAGGTTATCCTCTAAATCGTAAACCAAAATGAAGTCTGGTTTCTTACTGATGTGTGTAGGATCCTTAATGTCTAATCAAGGTTGTGCTGAAGCATAGCATTTTCTTTAACACAACTATTATTATGGTCTCTCCCCGTTATCCAGTTCCTTATTGTCATTAAATAGGTAGAACCTTAATCCATGACCTCTATTCTTCTATCAGCTTTGGTTGAAATGGTCCAATACATTTAAAAGCTGCTTCTGCACCCTATTAGGCTCCTTCAGCACACAGACATTCACAAATACACTTGTGCTCACAGGCAACACGATCAGATTAACCCTGTTCTCTCAAATGAAGCTAAGGTAAGATGTGTTTACATCCCAATTTAATCCCATGCACCGATGCAGAAGTTAACTTTAGTACCTGCCAGACGCACTTTTCCTGCAAAACAGCAGAGTACAATAGAGGCAATGACCCAGGTAATGTTTAGCAGCAACGTACCCTTTGTTACGTTGAACTGGTAAGATTAGTGTACTTGATTTCAATGATAGAGACATTATACAATTAAAATTCAGGTGTTCTCCAAATGTTTTCCAAAAAAGCTGATGAAGTCCAACTGCAACACACTATTTTCTTTAAAATCAACATTATACACCAATCACTAAAGTACAAAGATACAGGAATTTATTTACATGCAAGTTACTACCAAAACATCCAGTTGCTCTTACCTTGAACTAGATCTTGACTTTACATCTTCCTTTGCTGTCCTTTCACTATTAGCATCTTCATTGTTGTCCTGCTTTTTCTCACATAGTTGTTTTCTCTTCTCCCACTTCTGCTGATTTGAGATGCTTTCTGCTTCTCCTTGCGAGTCATTTTCTGCTCCTACCTGTGAACCTGAGGAATGTGCCAGGCACTTAGAGGAGATCGGCAGTTTTTGCTCTTCTCTGCCACAGCCTCCTTCTGCTAACAGAGCAGAAGTTTCGGGCTTTAACGTTTCCTGTGCAGGGACTGAATTGTCCAAGTTATCTACATGGTCCATTTCCTTAGACTTTACTAACGTGTATGAAGCATTTACAACACCTCCTGCAGAATGTTTAGTCTTTAAACCTTCAACACTGTCCTCCCTGCTGTCTTCACAGCTGCCACAACACACACAGGAATTAATTAGACAGTTTGTGGCAGCTATACTGAGTTTATGGGATTCATCCTCCTCCTCATTTGCTAATGGATTAGCAGATCCAGGAACACAACTAATAGCTGCTTCTGGAGTTGTTACTGGGGATTCTGAGCTAGAGGGAGATTTAGGATTGAATATTACAGTAGCAGATATTTTCATTCCCCCTGTCCTATGAGCTATCACTTCCGCCATTTCTGCATCATCAGCGTACGCATCCCAGCCATTGAGGTATAACTGTGAGTCTGGACCCTCTAGACAGCTGCATGAATTCTGAACTGAGACACCAGACATCTGTTTGCTATCTTCAATATTGTTATTATTGCTTAAGTCACTTTCACCATCTTTTAAAAGCAAAGTTTCCTCTGTCTGATGGCCGTTCTCGAACAGCAAAGCGTCTCTATATTGCAGGTTCTGTTTGGAACTGTGGCAAGGGTTATTCACCCAAGCAAAAGTATCACTTACTGAATCCAACCCAGCAAGAGCTTCTCCTGCTCCATCTAGGTCATCCATAAAAACCACCTTCTTCTTCAGTTAAGTTGTCAAGATGGTGTCTTGTTGGTGAAGCTTCTGTGCTAGAACTATTTCTTAGGCTAGATCTGTGAGCTGGAGACTGACAGATGCTTGGAGGGGAAAGCAGAGAAGACATTTCGTCTCCGACTCTGTGCACCATCCTATTCAGCTGTTCCAGCTCCTGTTCATCATACTGCATAGAACAAGCCAGCTCAGCCTCTGTGTTTTCAGCTTTTGCTGACAGCTCCTTAGCAGGCAAAGTCGCAGTTATGCCCGGTGTAATGACAGAGGGTACTTCAGGATCTGCTCTGACAGGAAAATCCACATCTTGAGAGATGCAGAGGTTACGTTCCAGTGTGTGGAGTTCATCCTCAGTTAATGTCTGAAGTAGATCCCTGAAAATGAAGGAATACACACATCACTCTGCATTTACAATCACGGGAGGCACCGATGTTACAGATTTTAAAAAAGCTTTTACTGTTAGCACAGAAATCCAGAACTTGGGGCACAGGGTACTTTCAGCTGCGTAACTCAAGGTGCATTTGGCATTCATATTCAGAACACATGTGATTGCTGATGCCTGAATTTGAGATTACTTATGCAAATTCAGGGTACTAAGTTATTTACATCCTTGCAATGAAGCCCCCAATAAATCAAAACACACTCAAAAATGGATCTTTCCCCCTCCCCATCTACTTACAGTGAAAGTGTTACCCACAATCAGATAGACTTTGTCATTTTAATTTTTTAATTCACAAATTTGACTTTGATTAGCAAACCAATTTGCCACCCTTCGTACTACATTCTGAAAATTATTCTGCAAAAGAATACCATAGGAGTTTCACACCATTATATTGTCAGATAAAGAGAATCCATGAAAAACAGTAATATATATCCCTTATGCAATGCTGACATCTCGGATGCCTGTTCACCAAAACAGGGACTGGAAGTTGGCTCTCTCCTGCCTCAAACACGTAACTCAGTCATTAGGGAGCCAAGCTTCTGGATGATGTTAAGAATCAGGCAGGCCTAAAAGCAAACATTTAGGTATTTACTAAACTACGTTTTCTAGAGACATGAAGCATCCCCAATGTTATCAAGTGTCCTCAATATTGCAGTTTAGGACTACGAGCACCTAAAAACAAAGTGTTATTTGCAGCTGTTATGTTTAAGTGCTTTATAATTTTAAAGCAAATCCATAGACATAGCAGCATTTAATTTTAGGTCTGAATTCGATTTACACTACGCTTCTCAATTAGAAACCACATATAAAAATATCCCCTGTCAAGAGCTGCTGTCAACATTTTCAAAGACCAGCAAGTGTACTTTAGCATAAATGAATCTATGGGAAAAGCAAGACCTTCTGCTTAAACAGAGAATAAGAGTCCATTATTCCTCACGTGTTTAGAAATCATTGGCTAGCAGGTGACATACAGCTGGCATCATAATAATCATAATAACAACAACAACAACAACAACAACAACATATTAAAAGAATTCCCTTAAAGGAGTAACTTCAGTCTAAACAAGAGGACCAAAAAAACCCCGAAGAAACATTCAACACATCTCACCCTGATAAAAATTCTAAGCCTACAGAAGAAGTACCTTATAAGAACAACTGCACTATCGTATCCTCCCCTTTTCACTTGTTTCCACATTCTCTAACAGAGATGTCAGTATTTCTTTAAATCTTTCCATATGCATCTTCGAGTCCGAAGTTTGACCATTTTTTCAATCATAAATGAGTAAGAAAGGGAAATGGGCAATCTTGGTTCGACCCACTTACCCAATAAAGCTATAAACCAGTATTGCTATCTGGCACACTAGGACATTTTAAAAGACCTAGACCTATACATTTCTTTCTTTTGTCTAAACAGTATATAATGATACCATGTCATTACTCAGATCTTTTATTTAAACAGTAATCAGTGTCTGTAAGCAAGTAAGCATTTTATCATCACCATAAACACAAACTGACAGAGAATGGTTTAAGTTTTAAGGTCAATATAAAAATAGCTGTGCTGTTATTGTTTATTTTTGAAAGAATTATACCAATATAATCAATAAAAGCATAGAATAACATGATTTTTGCCATGAGGCTTTGTATTAAGAATTTTCAGTTTGTCAGTTTTTACAGAAATGCTGTGATGTACGATTTTATAAGCAGAAACAAAGTAATGTGGGATTTTAGAAACAGCTGTTTTTTTAATTAAAAAACCCACAACAAACAGAGTAAGCACACAAATGCAAGAGTGAAGGGTTTAAGATTGTCCCTCACCTATGCGAAGATATTAAAAACACAAGATATTTCTGGGTCAGGCCAGGGTCCATCAAGTAGAGAAGCTCGTCTCTGACAACAGATTCTAAGGAAGAGCATAAGAACAGGACAAGCACACAGTGATCTCTGCTGAACACATCCTACTGGCTTCCAGCAGCCTGTAGCTCAGGGATTTCTGAACCAAGGTGGCATTCTTGTGTTCAGTAATCCTCAGTGGACTTTTCTTGAGTGGATGAAAATGTGCCTGTCGGGAACTGATCAACCGTCAACTGCTTAAACATCAGCTACGCTCCTCTATACACCACAGTCATACCCTCTTCTCAAAACACATAAGAATTAGCAACTTCTGCAAATACAGACTATACTGGTAACGTTCAAAGGCATTTGCTTTCCATCCAAGCTCATCAGCATAACTGGGAATGAAATGGACCCAGGGAAAATCTATGATTGAATCCTCTGACTTTCAGCATCTAGTCTGGGGTTTTATTCAGTCTCCAGAACATTGCACGGCAGCGCCCGGGATTCCTGGGTGTCTGGGTGCCCAGAGCTGCTCTGCTGCCTTTCTGAAGGCACGGAGCGCCTGACTGCTGAGACCTATTTGATACAGGTTTCACACATTCACTGTAAAGTAAGTGCTGGAAATACATATTTACTTTATGCTGGCTAGCTTCATTCACTTGAGTAACGAACTCTTCATTTCTGCCAATAACACCTCCTCAAATTTAAGAACAATTGTGTGCAGTTTTGAGGATAAGTAAATAAAGCTTGATAAAAAAAAAAATCAACAAAATCAGCTGACAGTCCTCATGTCTTTTTAAGTGAGTCAGATCCATGCTGCCTTGCAAGAGCTGCTATACACAATCAGTTGGATTACATGTGGTAGTCCACCAACCCTGTTATTTCAGTAGAGAAATAATCCCACTTTAAATTAAAAGGAAATATGCTTAATTGCTCAAGTGAAACACCAGAAATTTTGCTATTAACAAATACAGCTTGTTCTAAATGAGGTTCAGACAGTCATCTTCCCCCCCGATTCATTGGGCTGTTTTAAATACAAGTTTCCTTGCATGGTGACAAATCTTTGATCAACAGTTATCTTTTTGATACACTGTATATTAGATTATACAGGATTCGCTGCCAACATTAGGAACATGGCATGTTTTAAAATACCTATGTAGATATTGAGAAATTAATGTCAACCCGTGTACTGAAAGAAATGTTAAATCTCACTACTGAAAGTCTAAAACTAAACTTTGGGCATCATTATTAAACCACAGGGTTTGATTAAGCTGTAGCTACTTCCACAGTTCACTTCCTTTCCGCTGAAGCATCTGTAACTCATCATTGGATCCAAGTCAGTGCCGTACTCATATGGAAAAAAGAATTTCTCCCTCTGCTTTCATTATTCAGAAGCCGCAGGTAAAGAGAGCTTCTGCAATCCACCCTGACAGCAGCTTCCTTCTCACAGAGGCTTTAGAAAACACTGAATTTAAAAAAGGTACATGTTGGGGTTTCACCTGCTTTTACTCTTTGGCATAGATCACAGGAAGGCAATCTAGCCTTGGAAATATGAGGAACATTTTTCTTCCAGTGACTACAGCCACTGGCAGAAAAACAAGGCAAGTTCTTAAGATGTACTCTGCTTGTTACAAGCAGTAGTAGAAATTTACTCTGGCTATTGCAAAACCAATAAACATATTTTACTCTACTGCCAATATCCAGGGTGCAGAAATTACTTCTTCAAAGCTCTGAGGCCAGATGTCCATCTAAAGACAAATTCGGCTGAATAGAGGACAGGGCCACAAAAACCCGGGTGCACTGATCTCGCACATTCTCCAAGCCTCCTTCATTAACTTTGCTCCTCTTCTGACGAGAATTTTAAATTCCCTGTTTTCAGAGAACAGCATTGTTGTCATGGCCAGCCTGTGCTTCAGTCCATGCTCTGAACAGAGCATAAACAGCTGTCTTTACGGAGCTGCCACCATAAGGACATGATGCAGGTACAGGAATGCAATTTGCATCCTCCTGCTGCTGCAGTGCTGAGCTGAGTTCAGCACACCGAAGTCCGCAGATCTGCTCTGATACACAACCAACACTGATATAAGAAATATCACTGGTACTCCTCCTTTACAGCAAAATTTTTAAATCAACTCAAAGTTTTAAACACAGCCATCTTGGAAAAACTAACCAGTTTTCCCCCAATCACTGTGCACACTTTAAAAGCACATGAGTTTCCCAAGCCCCCCCGCCCTTCTTTAACACACTGGCAACGGGTATACTGCATTTGATTTCTAGTCAATGGTACAGAAAGGATTCAGTGTACTTAAAATGGTATGATCCTCTGATTCTGCACCACTTGATCTGCAATCTGCTTGATTCTGCACCACCAAAATCCACAGGGACCCTGAAAATCCATAGGGACCCTGCCATCAATAGTAACGGTCCAGAGACAAGCACAAGGCAAGCAAAGGGCACTGAAAAAAGGGCAGAATTAAGGAGTACTGCAAAATCCCAAGTCTGCTCACCTCTGAAAATCTCTGTATAGCAGCCTCAAATGTATATATAGTATAGGTAATAGTTTATCATGAGAATGTTCACTGTCACAGGCATCTAAATTAAATATCTATGCCTATACCAGATGATATGCTTTGTATACTTACCAGGCAGATCACAGTAGTTTGGCAGAAATGGTTTGAATGTCTTAGTTTAAAAGGAACAGAGATAACTACTGTAGAATTATGCATTGGTAGATGTATAAAATACAAATGCTGATGTTTTATATCTAAAATAAAAATCAACACAAGCACCTGGCTTAGGTATTAATTAAAACATTCTAAGTCATCATTTGCTGCTCAACCTTACCAAAACCTAAAAAAGAACCCTTACTGCTTTTGCTCAGACAGTCTCCACTATCTCTGTTATTTTCAAAGTTGCCAGCCACCAATAGGACACCAAAAATCTTCCTAGCTGATAGATATTTTTCTTTGCTAGTTCTGATTTAATTACGTGGCTCCACATAAACACAGTGCTTATCATTGCCTTTAACAAGGGGGATGTTTTAGGACAATACAGCTTAAAAATTACCCGTAATCCTACAAAATAATCAGCTGTATATTTGGTGTTATTCCATGAGTTAAAATATTTAGTTGGCTAAAAAGTTATAGAACTTTATGGAGAAATTTACTGGGTTGTGATCATATTCAGCAGTAAGATGTTGTTCTGTATTCTTACAACAGGCCCAGAACTGCAACGCAAGATGCAACTATTTTAACAGAAGACTACTTGAATCTATTTTCATGCCTTAATGCCTCATGATGGAGACTGGAGCAAGACTCCTGGAAAAAACTGCTCCCTTTTTGCTGGGGACAAGCTCAAATATCTCATTCCATCTTCCCTTATAGGTTTCTGTGAATGTTCTCACTGAGTAGGAATTGCAGCCTGATGAGTTTAAAAAAAACTGTGATGATAAAAAAAAATCTAGACAGCTTAGGTAAAAGTAATTTTAAAAGTAATTTAATTATCCTACATGAACTGCACACTTATTTGTATTTCACTGTTGCTTTCATTCAATGTATTTTCCATTCAAGAATATTACTAAAGGATCTTTTTGAGCCCAGTTCTTTCAAATATTCAAGTTCCTTGACATTCCTTCAATTCAGAGATTACCAGAGATAAGATTTCGCATTACATCTTGACTTGCTTAAAATTTTGTTCCGATAGATGCTATCTCACTAAGAACACTTTGCAAACTTTGGCTGCTAGACAACCGAAATCACGTTCCTTAATGCTTACTTGAAAGAATAAATACGATGTAAGTCTTAAAGTACATCAGAACTTTTTCCAAAAACGAATCTGAAAGTGTCTTTTCATTTTTTGAAGTTTGCATTGAAAATTGTAGTTATTGAACAAACAAACATTTTACTAGTGTGTTTTCAACCCAAGCATTAAGTTCAGAGTAACTGAAAATTAAATGGACTAAGCAATAAACTGACTTCATTGATTTTCATTTTCCATGTTGTAAAACGTAAGGAGTAAGCACAAAGTACATACGAGAAGTATATTAGCTGTTAAATATTCTTTTGGCTCTAGTCAGCCAGTGGAGGGCTGGTGAAAATTTCTCTGATTGCCATATATTGGCAATAAGGTATTTTAATGTAAACTTCATGGACTTTTTATGCTTCTGTACCAGTAAAGCTTTTTTTCCCCCCTCTAACTTAAGTTTTGCTCCTCAATTCATGTTGTTTTTCTTTACCCAGTGTTTTATAAAACCATAATCACTCAAAAAAACCCAAACATGTTGATTTGTCAATTCTGAGATTTCAATATGAATATCATTAATGTACCTAAAAATAAAACTGTATCATTTCTAGACAGAAATACTAGGAAATCTTTAAGGGACACAAAAGGATGTGGTCTGGATATTCATAAAAGCTAAATTCAGAAATATGCTCCTCTCTGAACCATCCCTGACGGAGCTTGCATTCTCCCTCAGGAGATGCCTCACCTCTAACGGGTGAGAGGAGATTAATCTGGATAAACTTATCTACATGAAAACTATTCTTACATCAAATCGTCATCATGACACAGAGGAAAGGCGATAAACAGGTGAAAACTGGACACAGGAAAGAAAAACTTCTGCTAAATTGTCTCTAGGTATTTCCAGGAACACAATTTGCAGTTGATATATAAATTTGAATTCTAAGAAAATAATAGGCCTTACGGATTTAGAAAATAGTTTAACACCCAGATAAGATACCTTAAGGGTGAGTATAAAAAAACGAATATAAAGATCCTTTAAAGATACAGCTTGATTTCTCCAATGTAATAGATCAGTCTTCTAAAGACCTCAACTAAGAAAAAAATATTTTAATGCCCTTTATACTTAAGTTGAGCCAATGCCCACATCTCCAACAGTTACCAAGACTGAAGCACTGTGAAAAGAGGTATATATAAAATGATCCATCCTGTAAAAACAGTTCCACAATATGAAAAACTGATAGTCATTTCTATTAGATTAAGAATTACCTGAGTATTGCATTATAACATACTGAGAAAATGTAATAAGCCTAGTTAATCAGAAACATTGATGCTAATGAGAAACAGGATCTCCCAAAAATAAACTGCAACTTTAGTATTTCAGGCATCATCCAACCATAAGGAAAATCTGAAATGTAATAAAATGATATTCAGAAAAAAAAGAAACTACCACAAAGATATGAAAAGTTCAGAAAACCCCCATGAAATGAAAAACTACCTTTAGTTATTTCATGGGTATATCAGGCAGATGAGAGGAAAACGTAGTTTATGGTTAACATAGCAAACAAACACTTTTCTAGGCATTTACGTGTTCTTTTTTAGGCCTCTGATTTTCACTTCAGAAGAAAAGCAGTTACAACCATCTTTTATTACTTGCCTTATTTTTCTTAGCAGAGTGTGAAAAGGTCTGAAGAGTTCAGACATATCTTCTGGTTTATGGTCCAAGTTTAATGGTCCCTCGGAGTAGACGACAAGGCCACTGTAGTTCAAACACATGCACGAACACACACAAAAATGAAAATTTCATTACACAGGGCAACTATTGAATAAGGAATCAGAAAAGCAACTGTACATAAACATTAGAACTACAATCAAGTTACATATTGGGTTTTTTTTTTTCTTATACACCCACAGTTAGAATTAAATGCTATTTAAAGCAACAGGAAAAAGGTGCCCTCCCCTCTGCCCACCCCCCTAAAGCATGGGAGAAAAGGCAATGGAAGTACAAGAGGAAGAACATACATTTACTTTAATTGCTGCAGCTGACCCATAAAAAAAAAAAACCCTAAAACAAGGAACTGATTATCAAGTAAGCTGGGGAAGGTCCACTGACTTGAGACTGCAAATGGCTTTTTCTTTCCAGTCTAAATAATTTCTAGGTAACATAGTTGACTCTTGAGCTCCTATTTTTCTACCTCTAAGATAAATACCATCTGGTATTAACATGTGGTTAAAAAGAAAACACGTTTGCTAGATCACATAAAACACATTTTGATAAAACCATGCTTCTCAATCAACTCAGCACTTGTAGAAATTTCCCTGGAAAGAGGTCAGTTCATGAACCTGAAAGCCTCCATGTATTTCACTGTAGATATCTCGATAGTTCTTCCTGACCGAATCACTACCGCCCAAACCTGTCTGTGTGTCAGGGATTACACAAAATTCACCCTCTTCACTATTATCTGCTGTATCATACCGCACTGTGTCTGAGAGTGGATTCCAACCACACCAGGCACCACTCCACTGTTTAATCCTCTGCCCACTGCAAAAACAACACCCGCTTCTCAAAGGCAAATGGATCATGCGTTCTCACACTTGAGATTACATATTTTAGCCAGAGCATTTTCCCCTTCCTACCCTTACCTTGGGTAGCTGAGAGCTGCCTGTATCTCAAAGCTATGTTCTTTTTCTTACACTCAAATTACATGTTGCTTCAGAGAGTATTGTAGCTACTCTGCATCCAAACCATCCAGAGTAATGGGGAACCTTGGCTGACTAACAAAACATTGATGTCTTTTTGCTCACTGGCTGTTCACAACAAGCACCCTGTGTGACCACCGAAGGCTCTCTGAGACACAGCAGCAAGGCTGATGTCACAAGTTATATGAATCCCACTGAAAAAAAAAAGGACCACTTACACTCTGTTTACCATCTGGGAAATACTGCTCTTTTTCTTCTGTTTATAAACCCAGAGTCTGGCTCATGCCCTGGTACCAGGATAGTACCGTGGTCTCCCATCAGGCTGGAAGATGGCCATCAGAAAGTTCAGAATTGTCAAGATAACAGAGGGTCCAAGAAATTCAACTACTAAACTTGATCAACATTGCTTTGGGGACTGAGGTTTTCAGGACAGGAGCAGGGAAAGGGGAGAAGTGGAGAGAGAGAAAAAAAAGTTGCTTCTTGTGTGAGTCACCTTTTTTTTGTGGCTTAAGACAAATTATCCTGTTACCAAGGTTACATACTTTTATTTTTTTGTAAGCTTTGTGAGCTTCAACAAGCAGGCTGCCATGAAGCAAAGTAGTTACTGCTGACTCACATACTAATGTTCTGCCTAAAAAAAGATGTTACTTTGCTGAGTGGAAGCTCGAGGCTGCTCTCACCAAACTTGTAACTGAAGCAAAATCACCATTTCCTTGGCAATTTCCAGGTATAGTTCACTTTCCATAGAGCTTAACTCACAGAAGAAATTAAAAAATAGAAGAGGGCTAGAGCACTACAAAAAAAGATCATGAAATGGCCTGTGTACGTATATGACCTTTGAAAGAGTTCTGAATCAAAGTTTGAAATAGCTGTATCATGGAAAGAATTAAAAATTGGAAAAAGGTGTGTCTTAATATTTCCTACTAGGTTCAAAGTTCCCTGACACCTGTTAACACACCAGGCAACGTACACTGTATAATGTGCATGGTAAACTGATGTCTGAAAAGAAACCTTAGACAAAAATGACTGTGAAAAGTATTCCTTAAATCTTTGCTATTAGAAGACTGAGGGGATGCAGCACTTCTTGCTCCAGACCCATCCTTCTCATTAAGACACAACAGAGCAACAGCATGGCAACTTTGAGTTGCATCTGTCTTGTGTTTAAAGACTTCTCCTTTCACAGTCCAAATAAAAGGCTTGCATTTCTTCCAGACAACACTGTATCTGCATAGTGTAGTTTTTCTGTGGAACTTTACATGGCAGCCATTTCTCTTCATATCACTGGCTACTTTGGAGTAGTTAAACTTGTTTCTCTTCTCCCTCTGTCCTTCTTTGTAATTTGGGATTGATAAGGCATGTTTGCCAGAGTCTCCTTGGTTTTCCAGTTAGTCATAATGTATTCTTCTTCATTGTGTCTTCCAGCAGCTTCAAACTGAGTTCTCACATTCCTGTTGTCTTTTGATGATCAGATTATTACTGTTATTATTTTTAGAATGACAATTACAGACAATATCCTATTTACCAGGAACAATGGGCTACAGAGATTTGCTGAGAAGAAGTGTATTACACTCGGGATTTGAGGTTTCTTATTTCCCTCATTATACTACTTAGATTAGCTAACTTTAAAACATTCACAATGGTAAAATATTAAAAATATGCTGGCTTCACTCCAGAGAAACTGCTGTCTTATTAAATCATGAAGATTCACCAGGAAAAATGCATCTTGCTTGTTCAATATTGCAAAAACTGCATGAAGCAAAAAACCTGTTCTAATTTAGTTGTCTTCAGTGGTCAATACAGGGCATAAATCTACACATAAGTTACACATGTTAATACTTTCCTTGAAAAAGACTGAAGCCTAACTCAGTGGTCACAATGCAGTTTGTCATGACAATTCCTTTTGAACCTAGAGTCATTAAAGAAAAATACACAATTCCTAGTGAAAATTTTTGGTTTTCAAGACTTGAATCCTTAGGTCATATTATTTTTGAGTGATACAAAATACTTGCTTTAAAAAAATATTTCTGACAACATGACATTCTGTAGACTGGCATTCTTAATTCATTTTTTATTTCTTTCTGGAGGACGACTGATCAATCATTCCAGGTTCCTGCCTTCTATATTTAGAGTTCTACCTTCTCTTTTATTTTTTTTCCCCTCTTGATATTCTGCATGAATCTGGTAATGATTAAAAAAAACCAACAACAACAAAAAACCAATAAAAACACAAAACAAAATATTTGATTTTTTTTTTTTTTTTAAAGAAAGTACAAGCAAACTTGGGTGAAAGGAAATATGTCAAAATTCAGAACAAAGTTTTTGAAATCTTCAATAAATCTTTAAGTGAGGCAGAGTAGAGAGTAGTTAAAAAAATCACTTACCATACAATGGCTAATCTTGGAATTGTAAACATTAAAGCCGGTTCATAGTCATCTATCATATCTTGAGTGAGGTATCCAAGCCTTAAGGCTCTAAGTGGAAGAATAAAATTATTTAGTAAGAGATAAAGAATACATTTCAATAGGAAAAAAGTGAAAAAATTGTTATAAGCCAAACCAAACATAGTATTTAACTCATGAACTATTTTTGTACAATCTAAAACACTATGTATATAACTGACGGCTGTAGTCTCTGCTTTAAAAAAATATTAACATGAGAAAAAAAAAAATCTTTAAACACTTAAAGCTTTATTAGCAATCCAAAACCAAAATAATTTTTATGCCATTTTCCCCTTTTATTTACTATTTCATGCCAAGCTTCAGCTTGTTACTGAAAACCACTGGGCCTTAGAGTTTAACTACAAGAAACATTTTTAAAGTAATAGAGATAAGTATTTGGTTTCATTTTTAAATAAAACTTGCTATAATCACCTAGGTCAACCCCCTGTAAACTAACAAATCAAGCTAAAAAAAACCCTAGTTCTACACAGCAACTATTATTGAAGTCTAAGGATTTAATATTGGGGACACTTCATTGTCCTCTAATGACTTTTCAAATATCTTGAGCCCTTTTTAGACTGAAACACGATTTGTTCAGGCTTTTCACTTGGCTATGTTTTCCAGGTGTTGTGGTTTAACCACAGCCAGCAACTAATTTCTTCACAACTTCTTAATTTCCTCATAAGTTTCATAACATCCTCAAATTTCTTCTCTGATTTGTCCGTATCAGTGCATAAGGTAACACTCAAAACTACATACTAGTCCCACTGAGATCTGACTGGTCCCAAAAAGAATGGAAATAACATTTTCTTATTCCTTGTCAGTACTTGTCTTGCCACTACTGCTGGTGGTGGACAGCAAAACGACCACAAAGCAAGCACTGCTTTGTACTAAGGGTAGATGGACTCATCAGTGCACGGCCCACGCTCACCCCCTCTTCTTTCCTACAGTCCACTGCCAGATTATCCAAAGCTGCAAATGAGAAACCATCTTTTTCCTCTTACTGGGCAAATGTGTGCATATGTAGTAGCTCTCTGACTGATGGAAGGTAATTCCTCCTACTTGTTGTGACCATTTTGAGTTGCAAACCTGTCTTTTAAAATGCTTGAACACCTCTGATCTTGGTGTCATCTACGGATTGTGGCAGTGTGCTCTGTACTCCTTCATTCCTTAATGAAAGTATCAACACACCAGACCCAGGGTCCCACTTCACAAGTTCTCCTAATATGACAGTAAAACCAACAACACTTACTCCAAACGCATTTTACAGTCAATTGGTCGCTAATAATTTCACCCAGACTACACTTCACTGGTTTCATTTTGAGAACAGTGTTGCACTGCTCAAAACCTCACTAAAAAAACTGGCTGGATGGCCGGGCCCAAAGAGCTGCGGTAAATGGGGTTCAATCCAGCTGGCAGCCAGTCACAAGTGGTATTCTCCAGGGCTCAGTACTGGGGCCAGTCCTGTTCAGTATCTTCATTGATGATCTGGATGAGGGGATTGAGGGCACCCTCAGTAAGTTTGCAGGCGACACCAAGTTGGGCGGGAGTGTTGACCTGCTGGAGGGTAGGAAGGCTCTGCAGAGGGACCTGGACAGGCTGGATCGATGAGCCAAGGCCAAATGTACGAGGGTCAACAAGGCCGAGTGCCAGGTCCTGCACTTGGGTCACAACAACCCCATGCAACGCTGCAGGCTTGGGGAGGAGTGGCTGGAGAGCTGCCTGGTGGAAAAGGACCTGGGGTGCTAGTCGACAGCTGGCTGAATATGAGCCAGCAGCGTGCCCAGGTGGCCAAGAAGGCTAACAGCATCCTGGCTTGTATGAGAAACAGTGTGGCCAGCAGGACTAGGGAAGTGATCGTGCCCTGGTACTGGGCACTGGTGAGGCCGCACCTCAAATCCTGCGTTCAGTTTTGGGCCCCTCACTACAAGAAGGACGTTGAGGTGCTGGAGTGTGTCCAGAGGAGGGCAACGAAGCTGGTGAAGGGTCTGGAGCACAAGTCCTATGAGGAACGGCTGAGGGAGCTGGGGTTGTTTAGTCTGGAGAAGAGGAGGCTGAGGGGAGACCTTATTGCTCTCTACAGCTACCTGAAAGGAGGTTGTAGCAAGGTGGGGGTCGGTCTCTTCTCCCTAGTAACAGGCGATAGGATGATAGGAAATGGGCTCAAGTTGTGCCAGGAGAGGTTTAGTTCGGATATTAGGAGAAGTTTCTTCCCTGAAAGGGCAGTCAGGCCCTGGCACAGGCTGGCCAGGGAAGTGGTTGAGTCTCCATCCCTGGAGGTATTTAAAAGCCGGGTAGACATGGTGCTTGAGGACATGGTTTAGTGTTGGACTTGGCAGCACTATGTTAATGGTTGGACTTGATGATCTTGAAGGTCTTTTCCAACTTAAAAGATTCTATGATTCTAAAGCTTGGGATTTCACATGCTGTCCCTCTCTACTGCCCACTAGCTAGGCTAGTTACTCTGTCACAGGGAGGAAAAAAAAGTTGTTCATAGTACATTCCAAACAAATTTACATTTTTCTTATCACCTTATACTCCTAAAAGAGCTTATGAATTGCTGGTGTTTTTTTAACATCATCTTTTCATACGTATAGAGTCAAGCTGCAGTCCTCTAAGATTTTCAAGTGCCTTTACAAGTTTTTTTACGATAATTACTAGAGGTTCACAGATGATTTGAAACATCTCCCCATGTATTCTTGCATGAAATGTCATTAAGTCTTGATTCCTCAAACAGATTTAGCTCATTTAAATGCTTAGTCTTCATTTACACATCTACAGCTAGGCACACCAACAATATTGTTATTGCTGGATTATTAAAACTTCGTTTTTTTTTTTTTGTCTAGAGAATAAAAAAAACTAGGTTTGTGCCTGGCAAGCATGCTTAATATTTTTTATACTTTGTACTTGGACACTTACTAGAAAAGCAAAATACCTGGTATTTTATGATGCTTCTTAAAGACTACAGTTAAAGTATTTCTACAAAAGCTCAGACTGAAAGTAAACACAGAAAGGAAAATCTAGTGCTTAACTAAAATGCTTACCTCTCCACAGTTTCACAGAAAAGTACGATTACCTCTTGCTGTACATAATATTCTTTTGGAGACTTCACGGGTACCATGGCCGACACATAACTATAAAGATTATAAAATAATGTACTACTGTTTTACATGCTTTAACAAATTAGAATTGAAATAAAAACAAACCTAAGACAAATCATCTTAGAAACATAACCCTTCCTCTACCATTTTGTATTTATTTTGACAGCACTCACTATGAAAATTGTACAGTATAAGAATCTATAAGAAATGCAGCCGATGTACTTATTGCAGATCGAGTCAGTGGAACTCAGTAGTAATTTGTAAGTATAATTACACACATTTAGCAATCGGAACTCCATACTGTGTGGTACAGGCAGGTAGGTTCTAGAAGGATCTTTACTGACGCATCTTGAAGATAGAATAGTTTACTCTGCATTTCCTTAAGAAAAAAAATGACTACAATGCACATTTTACCTGGAAATGTTTTACCTGAAATTATATTAGTGAAATTCAATTAGCCAGTAGAGGCAATTTAGGAGACTTAAAAGCTGGCCTCATTTCTATGTGGAATTACATCCAAAAGCACTAATTCACAAGGCAAGAAATATCGGTAAAAACAAGTGGTTTTCTGTCACTGTATTACTTAATCAGTCATTTGTAGACTGCAGGTAAGACAGGAAGGGAGAAAGCTGTTTGCAAAACAATGGCAAAGAAAAATGCTGTATGTAGAGCTGGTACAGACAGGTCAGAAACTGTGCACAGGCACTGTCAAGAACGAGTTACTGATTGCCATTGGTGTCTGCACTCAAAGACACACTTAAAGACACGTTTTTAGCCAATGTTTTTCAATCTAACACTATAATGATGTTTTTTTGAATCAGAAAAAGTTGCTTAACTGAGTAAAATAATACAAGAGAATTGAGGAAGGGCAAACAGTAATGCGAGACAAGACAGTCTACAGATTATTCCCAAGAAAAATTTAACATACTACTCAATAATAAGAAACCTGTTCTGCCGAAGGTAGGAATGGCTTTATTAAATTAGATCCATAGATAATCTTGTCCAGTATCCTGTCTGTAACTATGCCCAGCACCGCAAACATCTAACAGACACGCAGGAAGCTGTCTTGAATTCTGAAGCACAATGCAAGACTTGGCCAATGTGACCTTTGATGCAAAAAGCAGTTACTTTTCTCACCCCGAGAGCAGTTATTTTTATTTTTGCTATAAACCTCCAAGCCATTTTTCAATCGTAAGTTTTTAAATGAGTTCCTGCGGTTAATTATGGCTTGTGTAAAAGCACTTCCTTCATCAGATTTCAATTTGCCTTCTTAAATTCACTGTGTGCATCTTGCTTTTATCTCTAAGCACAAGAGAACAAAACCTCAATCTCTAGACTATTTGTTATCATACGTATTTTTTTTTAATGTCTCTTATTTGTTGCCTTTCCTCTGACAAAGAAAACATTAAGGGAAGAGATTTATGGCTTCCTTTTGTGTCTTGGAAAACCTCCCTCAAATGCCATATGCCAGTATGCAAATGGAAGATTATAGTTTAGTTGAAGAGAGCAAATGATGATTGCTAAAAAGCTATTTAATTTTCTTTTCATTATTGCTACACTGGAAGGGAAAAAAAAAATTTAACAATACAAATTACTGAAGAATTCAAATACCATGATAAAAAAATTACATGCTTTTTCCATAAAAAGAAAACAGAACAAAACAGCCAACTTCCAAAAACCAACAAGCCACACAACAGCTGTAGTAGCCGAGCCAATGCTCACAACACATTTACTTTGGATCTTTTACCTTAATTCAAATTCAGCAAAAAGGACGTCAAAACGCTTGAGTGAATCTTTCATTTTTTCTGTGTAGAGGTTCAAATCCCTTAAGGCCTGGTCACGAATGATATTTCTAACTTCCTCTAGGCTTCGGGTCAGATCCTTCGCCAACGGCCTCATAGCCATACTCTCAATTTCACGATTCATAATAATTGAACCAGCAGCCAAACACTATGAAATACATTAAGAGAGAAAACATGAATTTTTACAAAGTTACTTTTATGTTGAAAAAAAGCACAAGATGTGATATTTAATACTTTGAACAAGGGCAGTACTTAGCCCCAATTTGTTTCAAATTATTAAACAAGCAAAAGATTTAAGACTCATCTGCAGAGTCATAAGCCTTCATGTAAAAGGTTAGGGAGCAGCTCAGTCAGGGAGGCATGAGAATGGGGGGAGGTTCAAGTGCAAGAACCACAGAGCCGTAAGAACAACTTTAAAAAGTTCTTCTCCCACTAGTAAGGCAGTAAGTATTGGCAGGATACATACTCTATGTATGCAAGGATTGCTTGCATAAAAGGGATGTGAATCCAGCTAAAGTACGATCAATGGACTGGTTTGATTCAGGTTGGACTGCTTGATTTTGTAAAACAAATCTATTCCTTACAACAAGAACAGAAATTCTGCAACCGTGATGCCTTTTGCAGCAAAACTGGTCACACTAGCTATAAGACCAGGGATCCAGCTAGACCAGTACCCTATCTCCCACAGAAGCTGTGAATTTATTTTATAGGAAAGAACATAAAAACCAGGTCACAGAGCAATTCTTCCCTTTCAGTTTCTGGAAAGCAGCTATTTAAGAGACTCTCTGCCCCCCAAGTTACACACAGACTCCCTCTGACCAGCTCTCAAAGACATTAAAAGTAGATTTTTACTGTAACTTATTAAAACTTTTTTTAAATCTTGCTATTAAAAACAAACTATTTAATAATCTCTGCTGCTGGCTTTATTCTTTTATGGATATGTTTGGAAGACAGCAAGCACTGACAGAAATCATATTTGCTGTCTTAATGGAAATATTTTTATTAACTGAAAATATACAAGGTTGTTCTAGTCTCAAAGTTCGCTTTTTTTTTTTTTTAATCTCCATTTGCAGCTCTGTGTCCCTCCCCTCTCCTCTGCAGTCCCCTGGATGGGAGGCATTTCTGCAGCTCTGTATGGGGGACCTGCAATCCCAGCCCTTCTCAGCAGCCTGACGTGCTGATTCGTGTTTTAGGGGCACTCAGAGAAGATCACTTTCTTGCCTCTTATCAGCCAAAGCAGTATTTGTGGGAGAGTATGGATAAGGCAAGTCTTCCCTGTTGACAGGTACTCTTAGTCAGTGCAATCACTCTGAGTTATCAGACAAGGACACATAATTGTACATTCATAACGGTCCATACAATCTTCCTTACTACACGAATTTACAGGAGGACAGTATCTACAGTAGTATGAGCTAGCACCACTTTGTCACTGAATATGTTACTTTCTCTGAAACCAACAGGTCTCTCCAGCCTGGCGGTTTGATTTGGAGACAATGAAAGTTTGATTTGGAAAGAGTAAAAGCATTAGCTTATGGAACACAAACAGTGAATAAAGGGAGACTTTTTTTCCTCCTAGAAGATACTGGCTGTCTCAGTGATTCATTCAAGCATTTTCCACAATGCGAGGAGAAGTTACTACAGTGGCTGGCATTTTTCCTGTCTGTTCATTGCTGTAATCCCGGTTTGTTCGTCCCTTAGAGTAAGCAAGGATAATGGGATCCACAGGGATTCATTGCGGATGGTTACAGAAAGAATGACCCCATCTTCTCCTACCTAGCTACCAAGGAAGCACCATTAAGCCAACGTGTCAGACTCTCAGTATTTTAAAACAGAGCATGGCATCACCTGGATGACGGCAGCAAAGGTCACATGATGAGAAGAAGCTGCTGTTTTTGCTGAGGACAAGATTATAAAGCATTGATGTTATCAAAGCAATTTTGTAAATTCTACCTGGGACTTCCCTTGGCTCAGAGGAGCCTACAATTTACAACTGCCAAAGACAGTTTCAGAAACAGAACACGCGGAGGCATATTGGACCAAACAAGACGGGAACTATTGATGGAGAGCATGCACTTTAAAAAGAAAGGAGGAACTGGTAGAGAAAAGAATGGATAATAACAGGAGCCGAAGGACTGCTTCAAATACAGGAGAGGCAAAGCTGAAACCACCACCACAACGTGTTGTCATCTGGTAGGATCTCTAGACTACTCCCCGCTCAACTCTCAACAAATCCATGGTGTTTAAAGTCACCCTAAGGCCAGCAGACCTGAAGACACTAAGTTTATCATTAAAGATGCCACAGTGGGTTGTTGGTTTATTTTTTTTGTTTGTTTTTTGCCAACAGACATCATGAATAAGCATCTGACATATCACCTTTTTTCTGACACTTCAGGCTTCCCTTGGTTAAAATAATTCGAGCTTATTCACTACAAAAATCCCTTGTTCCTACAGGTTGCTGTAGAAGCAGGTCTTTGAGAGAAACCAGGTAAGACAAGAAAAGGGGACTTCACTGTTTTGCACAGAAACCATTATATTCTTAGCATACACATGAAACAAGTGAGTTATGCACAACAAATGTCATCTCAACAAAGTTATGTATGTTTAATATGAGTTACAGCATAATATAGCCATTAAAATAAAGTGATAGCATGCACTTATATTTGTTGGAGATAAACTTTTATCCTGATAAAATTCCCTTATATATCTTTATTTGCTTCTAAGACTTTTCAAATCATGAGATGCGAGATGGCCCATCAGGATTAAAAAAAAAAATCAAGAATATTAATCAGATGCTAATTCACAAAATAATAGTTTTTAAGAGGTGGTAACGACATAATGAAAGCAGACAATTACGAAAATAAACCAGTATACTGTTAGCCCAACCAATACCAAAACCATAGTTAAAGAATCTCCTTCCACTGAGCATCCAGAGCAAGTTCTCAAAGATGTTTACTTTGCTCTGTAATTATATGTACTATTTTCAGAAAAGTCTCAAGATGTACTTTAAAATTCTGGCTTTATGCCACAAAAAATTGTTCATTAACCCCAAGTAACAGAAATATGAGGACTTACTTCTGCTCCAAACCAAAGCTGTCCTGCAAGGTTGTCATGGCGTATTTCCTCTGGAAACTTAACACAAAAGTCTCGGTTGGCCCGTTCATGTGGAATGCATTCATCCATGATTTGATTTATGATGTTCAAAACATTATCCTGAAGCAAAACATAGGATAGCATATATACTGTTCCCACAGAAATCCCACAGAATTTTTTCTAACCTTTAATAGAATTTATTAGTGAGGTAATTAAGTAAGATGGAAAATCCAGTATTTAACTCTTACAGTCATCACACACACCGAGAAAGCAAAGAGGAGAATATTGCATAGAAAGAAGAGTGGCAAACTTCACTTTTTCTAGTTTTCCCAGAGACTGTTTCTCAGATTACTGCATTTAACTGACTACTTTAGCGGGAATTCTGATGAGGAGGCATTATTTAAAGAGCTCATTACCTCCAGCTATCTATCTGTAAAATATCAGTAAATAAACTAGAAGTACAAGTAAATTAGACTTCTCTCATTTCCTCTCACCAGCCCCGATGATACGCACTTCATTCTTCCTCAGAAGAACGCCTGACAGAGTACCCTGGAGGCATTAGAAATTGAGTTATTTTGGGACCATTGGGGTTCAACAGACTTAAACTCATCCTGGGAATCGACAGCAGGTGGTTTCCACACTTGAGTCCCCAGTGGGCAAGGGCTGGGACACCCGCCTGCCATCTCACCCCCGGCCATCCAGGAGGGTAAGGGGACACCGCACAAGTCATAGTCTTAATAACTGTTCTGATCTACGTCTGCACCGGGACAAAGATCAAAGACCTATAACCAGCTTCTTGATATGCAGTAAATAATCTGTATTCATTTATTTGAAAAGATAATTTTCACATACCCCTGCTGGGAACTGCATGGAATTTCATTAACATAATAAAGGTAGATTCGGAGCATGAAAAAGGCTGAGTGCTTTCATTAAAGATGTTTTGTCTGTCTCATGCTTCTTCCACTATTTACAGAATTCATGTTTTATTTAAAATATTTTTCAAATAAATAAAAACAAATCTGCCTGTATAGAACTGTTTAACAGACAGAATTGCTTTAAGTCTACACTTTACTGTTTTATTTTCCTCTGCATTTAAAAAAATACATGAATTTTGAAGAAACCTGCCCCTTTAGTATGTTATCTATTGAGAAAGACAAAACCTACTCTGGGTACAAAGAAAGATTCATATTTTCTGTAATTTCAGTGCAGACTGCTGGAACTGCTGTTGCTGCAAAATAATCTTAACATTGATGCCATAACCACAGTTACTTTAATCCAAAATAAATAAATAAATAAATAAACCACTGGCAACATTTATTACACATTGGTATAAGGTACTTCATGTTTTAATGAAGAAAACATTTTTACAGAAACGTATTTTTGCAAGTCTATCATGAGGTAACACATTTCGTTTCAACGAAGTTGTTGAAAGAACCAAACACCCCAAGCATTTACAACACACTGGCACACGTAATATTCCACCATCTTTTCCAGAAACAAATCTGAAAACCAAATGCTCTGTAGCTCCTCCATGGCATCACGACGCAGACTGTGGCCAGCAGGTATAAGGAGAGACAAGAAAATGCAGCTAGATTCACCAAAATATAAAATACTTCATTTCAGAGACATACTCCTCACTCTGCAGGGTTTTAGCGTACTGCCAGGATTAGTGGGGTACTTAGATCCCTAGGAATGCAGAGAGATGCCCACTGTAGAAACCGAGGGAAAAACCAACCTCACAATATTCCTAGCATAACAGCAAGGGGAACTTCAGTCCTGAAAGAAGACAGAACAGAGCAAAGATGCCCAGACCCTGTTTCAGCTCCACCATCCTGAACCATGGGCTAAAGAACAAGCCAGAGTGCCACCACCTCCCCTCTCCAGGATAAAATGGAGACAGAATCACCCACAAATTAGCGTGATGCTTCAGAGTGAGAAAAAGCAGAGTAATTGCAAGTTGCTTACTTTCCTTCCTTCCATTTCTTAATTCCTGGTATTGAGTATACTTCTCTCATCATTATTCAGCTAGATCTAGCTGGAGAACCAAAATATTTTGAAAGTAGGTCCCAAGAAGAATCATCGAATCTTTTAGGTTGGAATAGGCCTTTAAGATCATCGAGTCCAACCATTAACCTAGCACTGCCAAGTCCACCACTAAACCAGGTCCTAAGCACCACATCTACCTGTCTTTTAAATACCTCCAGGGATGGGGACTCCACCACTTCCCTGGGCAGCCTGTGCCAGGGCCTGACTACCCTTTCAGTGAAAAACTTTTTCCTAATATCCAACCTAAACCTTCCCTGGCACAGCTTGAGCCCATTTCCTCCTGTCCTATTGCTTGTTACTTGGAAGAAGAGACAGACCCCCAGGTAGTTGTAGAGAGCAATTAGGTCTCCCCTGAGCCTCCTCTTCTCCAGGCTAAACAACCCCAGCTCCCTCAGCCGCTCCTCATCAGACTTGTGCTCTAGACCTTTCACCAGCTTCACTGCCCTTCTTTAGACACGCTCCAGCACCTCAATGTCCTTCTTGTAGCGAGGGGCCCAAAACTGAACACAGTATTTGAGGTGCATATACCTTAGGTGACAAAAGGAAACCAAGTAAAAGTAGTGTCTTGACTTATCATGAGAAGAGGACTCTATCCTACCTTTTAAAAAAATGAAATAAACTGAGGAAATCATGGAGAAAAGAAAAATGAAAAACAGCACAAAGTTTGTCAAACAGCTTTTGTGATGAAAAGGTAAGGCAATTGACCTTGCTTAGAGAGTGGAAGGGAGGTGGAAGAGCAGTTTCTAGACATGGGAAGAGATACTAAAAAGAAAGACCATTAATCCATGAAGTCACAACAAAAAATAACAACTACAAGCAAACGATACCTTGCTTTGAACACAGCATAATCATACCCTGCACAAAGCCCTTTGTGTCATGCTTCACTAGCAACTCTGAAAACAATAAAAATTAAAAAACAGATGAAACTTTTGTCCCAAGCTTGGTTATTGTTACTACTTCTCTGTCCTAGTGTCCCTTGCTCACTCACCCAACGGTTGCAGTCCAGCCCCATATATATCCCAATTGGACATAATATGATACTCGTCCGACGGACAGATACTTTCTACTCCCATCTATGTATGGGTTCCCCTCACTGGTTTGCGTTACTTCGTGGTGCCATGTGGGAGTCTCACACACTCAATTCTCAGATTAGGTGAGCTGATCTCATTAAAGCAGCCCCATGCTACTGCCCAGGGTCTTAGATACTTCACTGTAATTTATACATGGAAAGAGGATGAAGCAGGTAAAGATAGTGTCATGGTTTAACCCCAGCCGGCAACTAAGCACCACACAGCTGCTCACTCACTGCCCCCACAGTGGGACGGGTGAGAGAATCCACAGAGTAGAAGTCAGAAAACTCATGGGTTGAGATAAAGACAGTTTAATAGGTAAAGCAAAAGCCATGCACGCAAGCAAAGCAAAACAAGGAATTCATTCACTACTTCCCATGGGCAGGCAGGTGTTCAGCCATCCCCAGGAAAGTTACTTTGGAAGAGAAACACAACAACACTGAACATCCCCTGCTTCCCTCTTCTTTCCTTGCCTTTCTATGCTGAGCATGACGTCATATGGTACGGAATAGCCCTTTGGTCAGTTGGGGTCAGCTGTCCCAGCCGTGTCCCCTCCCAGCTTCTTGTGCACCTGGCAGAGCATGGGGAACTGAAAAGTCCTTGACTGGTATAAACACTGCTTAGCAACAACTAACACATCAGTGTTTCAGTTGTCAAAGAAATCAACTCCTAAACCACTTAGTTCCTACCCAAAGTTACAGAGCAAAGAATGAAACTGAGTATTAAAGCATTTAAATTGGAGAAGGGCACGAGTCACTCATGATGTATTTTATATCAGTTATTACTGATCTATTCTGAGACCAGGTGCTTTGCCTGCAGCTCCCACTTTATCACCAGAGCAATACAGGTTGGCACACGAGGATGAGAAAGCCAGATTCCTGTTTTCAGGGAATTAATAATTAAGTTTGCAAAGATCTTTTAGCACTGGAGAGATACAGCGCTAAAAAGTAATCCTACCAGTTAAATTTTACAAAAGGTGCAGGAAATACAAAGAAATATTAAGGCACGGAAGTCTGAGAAGAATTATATTTGAATCTGATTATATCAGATTTTAATTAATCCAATTCCATTTTATTTTAGGACATGATATTCCAATTTTACTTGCCACTAAACTTGAAAAATTGCGTTTTCCCATATTCAATCTCTTGGTTTCTTTTCTAAAAAGCTACACAGAATAGGATGAAACCCATATTGAAAAGCTTTCCTCCCTAAAAGTGTTTTTTTTTTTTTTTTTACTTCAATGCATTACTTTTCAAATGCAATCTTATTTTACAGCAGCTACAAGACAGATTGAATTCCCCTTTTATAGTCACCTACATACATACTCAAAATTCCTGATATATCAAAGAATGTTTTATGCAAACGAAGTAAAGCAACAAGACTCATACCTGGCCAAGCAACTCTTCCATATATTTTAGTTCTGTTTTTCTAATCATTATACTGGTAAAAAAGTACTAAGATTCTGTCTAAATCATCTCAGGAGATAATAATTATAAGCATCATGAAATTTTGTACTTTAATGCACTTAAAGCAATTATTGCAACTGAAGGCAACTGGATATAATAAAGATAATTAAACTTTTTACAAAGCAAGTATAATACTAATTTTTCAGCATATCATTTGTTTATCACCTAAATAACACTTAATATTCTTCCTCATTTCTTCAGTATTCCTATAATCTCTAGATGGTTCTGCTCCAGAGCACCCAAGATCTACCAACATATCTACATGTATGCCACACTTCTTGAGTCAGTTTAAAAAAAAAGTTATTTTTAACTTGTGCAGTACTAGTAAGTTAAACCATAGGTAATCAGAATTTTAATATACACTTCCCAATGGAGATAAATCACAATAGCTCAATCTCTGGACTAGTAGCATTTGTTTGTAGAGAGTTACCTGGCTTCACATAGGCAGCTGCTCAATCTGTCAAAAAGCTAAGCGAAAAAGCCAATTAAAAAGATGAGCATCTTCTCCTGCATACTCTACTGCTTATACTGGAAGATT